TATTCCAGCATTGATCACTAATATGTATATAAGCTACATAACCGAAAACTTTGAGATATGAGAGTTTTACCTCCTTTCCGCACCATACCTCCTCTAGTATTCTGTGCTCCAATGGAACCGATAGACCTTGGTTGATCAAGTAAGCTGCTGTGTTGACTGTTTCTGCCAAGAACTTCTTTATTAGGCCTGACTGTATCCGAATGCTTCTGGCTCTCTCTGTCAACGTTTTGTTCATCCGCTCAGCTATACCATTTTGATGAGGCGTGCCGGGCACGGTTTTCTCCATTCTGATCCCATGCTCATAGCAGAACTTCTTGAATATGACGTCTTCATACTCACCACCATTGTCTATTCTGAGTTTCTTTATTCTCAGACTGGTCTCATTCTCGATCATGGCTTTCCATCTCCTGAAAGCCTCAAATACTTCTGACTTGTGCTTTAGAAAATAGACCCACACTTTTCGAGAGTGATCATCGATAAAATTCATGAAGTAGTGTTTTCCACCAATGGACGCAGTGGTGGTTGGTCCCCAAACATCTGAGTGAACGAGCTCTAGCTTCTCTTTCCTAGGGGTTATGCCACTTGTCTGAAAGCTGACTCTCTTCTGCTTTTCAAGTATGCATTCTTCACACATGTCCATCTCTACTGACTATAGTCCAGAGAGTTTTCCTTTTGTATGCATGATTTTTATCCCCTTCTCACTCATATGACCGAGTCTCTGGTGTCATAATTTTGAAGTTTCATTACCTGCTGCAACTGAGATTGAACAACGTGCACCTGTTATCATATATAGGGTACCAGTCTTCTTGCCTCGGGCAATCTTCATTGCGTCCTTTGAGATCTTCCAATCATCTCTATAGAAGGTCGTAGTGTATCTTTCGCCAGCTAACTGGCCTATGGATATTAAGTTCTTTCTCAGGTCGGGAATATGCCTGACATACTTCAGCTCCCATATTGACCCGTTCAACTTAATTTTCACTACATCTTTGCCCACAATAGTACACGGTTGATCGTCACCAAGGTATACGTATCCAAGATTTCCGAGGACATACTTCTCGAAAAATTCTTTTTGAGAAGTGGCATTGAACGACGCTCCTGAATCTAACACCCATGATTCCTCCTAGCTCTCCAAAGAGCATATCAATGCATCGTCTCCTCTTGAAGTGGAAGTGACATTCACCTTTGCCTTCACCTCCTTCTCCTTCTGTGCACTCTTGCACTGATTCTTGTAATGCCCGGTCTTTCCATAATTCCAACACTCGATAGCCTTCGAGCTATTGCTTGGATTCCTAGATTTGGACCTCTTGTCCTTTGATCTACCTCTGTAGTTTGATTTGCCTCGCACGTTCCCTTTGGTTGAATTTCTACCTCTTGACTCTGTATGTAATACTGAAGAAGTTGTAGCTTCACTCGACTCTCTCCATCGAATCTCCTCACTGAGAACTAGATCATGAACGTTATCGAACTTCAACTTGTTGCTTCCCGATGAGCTACTCACAGTTGTGACTGTAGCGTTCCAACTCTCTGGTAGGGAAGGCAAAAGTATCAACGCCCAAACTTCCTCATCAAACTCAATTTCTACTGAACTCAATTGGGTTGTGACCGTGTTGAGTTCATTGAGGTGTTGTGCTACTGACGCGCCTTTCGCCATTCTCAGATTGAATAACTGTCGCATCAAATGAACTTTGTTCGCGGCTGATGGTTTCTCATACATATTTGAGAGTACTGCCATAAGACCTGCCGTGGTCTTCTCCTTCGCTATGTTGAAGGCAACATTACGGGTCAACGTCAATCTGATAACACCGAGTGCTTGTCTGTCTAGAAGGTTCCACTCATCCTCCTTCATAGACTCCGTCTTTTTCCCCGAAAGTGGTTGATACAGATTTTTCTGATACAGATAATCCTCTATCTGTATTTTCCAGAATCTAAAATATGTTCCATCAAACTTCTCAAGTCTCACTTTTCCTTCATCTACGGCCATGACTCCCACTTGAATCTGATTTCCTCTAGATCGTTTCACGCTCTGATACCAGTTGTTGGGAATTTACATCGAAAATCCTAAAACAGTAAAACGCAGTATAGAGAAAATACATCCAGATTTAACGAGGTTCGATAACTACCTACGTCATCGGGAGCCACACAATTAATTTCTTATTAATCAACAAGAAATTACAAAGCAAGAGCAGATCTCAAACTTGAGATCTCTTAATAAATGCTAATTATCACTGTAGCTACAATAATAAAATCCCCTTTTTAAATACCCCCTTTAATTTCTCCCTCAAATCTGAGAGCTGAAAAATTCACGAGAGGAGAAGGAAAAAATCCGCTGAGTTTTTGAGTCCGCCGCCAGGAGAAAGAACACTACGAGAAAGAGAGGAGAAGATCTCATCTCGTGCCCTGGGGTTTCCCTTTTATAGGGAAACCCTAGCGACAGGCTGGCGACAGCCTGTCGGCGAAATTCATCTGCAACGCTTGAGCTCGAGCTCGCCTGTAAAGGCCCTAAGCTCGCCTGAAGATCTTCGATCTCGCTTGCCCTCTCGCTCGCTCGAGCTCGCCTGAACCAATTCTCGAGCTCGTCTGCAACAAGCCGAAATCTCCTCGACCTCGCCTGGAGTGGAGCTCACCCGCGTTCGCCTGAAGCACGAGCGCTCGACCTCGCCGTCGACCTCGCCAGAAGCTCGCCTCGAGCTCTCCGTTGACCTCGCTTGCGGAGGTTTGATTCTTCACCCAAATCCAACACTTTCAACATGATGATTGGAGGAGGCACCCTCTAGCTAATCCCTAGACCCATTTCAGTGTAGGTTTCTTATATGCTTCAGCCCCTCAACAACTTTAAAATTCATCCAATTTTAACCAATTAGGTTGATGTTTGGTGGTCTTTCACTTCATCATGTAGCTTTTCTGTTAATTCATTATACAAGATCATTAATGGCGGAGGGATATATTTTGGAGGCTAAAATTTTATTTGGAAATCTTGCATCCAATTAAGGTGAAGGTTTTCCTCTAGATTCTTCCAATACGAAAACTTCAGACCAAGATGAATCTTGTACCTAAGGGTTGGGAGGGAAACACTCTCTATTATTTTTGTCATACACATTTGGAGAGTGATGATCATCTTTTCTTTGATTGTGTCTTTGCCAAAAAGATATGGAGTTTATTCATATATACATGCTTTTGGTCACGTGAATTGGCCTAATAATTTTGATAGCATGCTGGAATCGGATGGATATTCTTTCATTCATGATAGCATAACAAGGCACCTTTGGTCTACATTCTTTGCATCCTTTTGCTGGTGTTTGTGGAGAGCACACAACAAACTAATTATTTTTGAAGAGCAAATGGCAATAGCTCGTAACCTAGCTTAATTTATTAATTGCTTATTTCACTATGTTCTGGGGTAGGGAATTCAAAGAAAAAGTATGAAGCTAGGATGCATGCACTGGCCAAGGAGCGAAGGATTTTTTGAATCTCATTCAAGAAGAAGACGTCGCTTCTTTTGTTGGTGAAATTTCTAACAGAGTGATATCACTGCTACTTCTTCTATTTTCTGTTAATCTTTTTGTATAATCATTGTACAGGCTCTAGTCCTTAATACTATTATGGTTGTGTTTATGTTTCTGGCTGTTAAACTAGGCTTTTTTTTATACACTTTTCTTAGGATGTATGGATCATAGAAGTTGAAGATATCACCCATCTATGATTCAAGTTACAGGTGACGACAAGGTCCTCTCGCTATTCTTGTTTAAGAATTGGTTGATGTTTTCTCCTCTTCTTCCCTCCTACATCTCATTGTAATCCTACTTTTGTTATATAGAATGAACTGGGTATCTTACCTTGTCTC